GCTTAATAACATTTCAAAAACTATAGGACGCTACAGCCCCGTAAGGCGCGCATCCGAAGGATCGAAAGCACAATTCCAAGGACCATTACAAGAGTGTCAGTATCTGCAAAAAGTATCAGCACAACGTAATTTTTTGGTTGCACCAACACCGCCACTTTCAGATAATTCAATTAGTTTACCTGGTAAGCTTTACAAAAAAAAATCAGAATAGCAATATTTTAACTTGATTCAAACATACCTAATTCCTGTCGTAATCCTCAACTTGTTTATAGATTTTTTTTTTTTAATTGTGCTAGGCATCTTAGATTGAAGGGAAATATTTGCAGTTGTCCAGCCATTACCTACTAATTATTTAATAGTTCTACAGGACTTGTGTTCAATGGAGAGCGTTCCGGAGCAACGTACAAGCTGCAGTCTCCTTGAGATAAATCTTGAGCCATATTTTCCTAAAACCTTCCTATATTTTTATTGGCGCTATAAGCGCTTAAGTAGAGCTATATGAGACCTTGCTAGGGATTAAACAACTCGGAGAGTTAGTTTCATAGGGATATATACTGCTAAAAGCGAATTTAAAATCGAGAAGGAGGAAATTTAAACTCTAATTGTCAGTTTGGGTCGAGACAAAAAACTTTGCCAATTTCCTCTCTGCTTTGAAAAATTGAGTTAGTTGTCCATCTCGAGTGGTGATAAGTTCTTTTGCGCTTAGTCCTTCTATTATATTTGTGGCCGTCCTTGCTTTCGTTGTCCGCCTATAGGTGCCGAGTAGAAGTACCTTTACAATGGTGCCTCCTCTATACGCGAATAAACCTGAAAATTCATATATATGGGCTTTTAGACTCGCTGAACCCGAATCCGAGGTCCGTTAACCTTTGTTTATGTTGTCGCTAAATCCGAATATGGGGATCCCTTGGTTCTTCAAAGTCATCTAGATGTCATGCCAAGGTCAAATTCAGAAGAAGTATATTGAATTTTCAGGTTTATTCAATGCATTTTTTGCCCTACTTTACCCTAAAATGACCTCGAACCTGACGTGATGGAGGCTAACAGACCTCGGATTTGCATTCATAACATCGGTTGGTTCAATATGGAGACTTTTTTTGTAAACCTATGTAATCTATGATATGAGCAACTTGTTCCTAGTTTTGGATTCTGAAGGGCCAGAGAGGTAGTAACTCTTCTTTGGGTAGCTTGGAACTAGACGATTGGGTCCACGAAACCTTATACGAGTAATCAATAAAAAACCAATGTTTGAATCAAGTTAATTTACAACAAAAAAAAAACTCTGAAACAAATTAAAAATATGCTTAGCTTGTTTGCACACTCAACTTATCTCCGTATTTGTATATAATCATCTATAATTATTTATCTACATACTAAGCTATTACCGCTCCTTCAAAAACTTATTTTCGTTATAGGTTCCCCCATACATGGCAAGCCCGCTCCGCACATGATATTCCGCCGTGGTCAAGATATTGAGGTACCACCTGAAGCTGTACGAGCTCTGATGCCGCAGCTTGATCGCCTTGTCAGGGAGCATCGACTGAGCACGGATATAGCCAATAAAGTAATAGCTACTGGTATGGTGCCGCTTGACTTAGCGTCCCATTTGGGCTTGACAGCACATTCCGCAAGTGCTGCCGTAAGTGGTGGCCACCTAGAGACGGCGTCGTCTCCCATGCAACACCAAGCAATGTATAGTTTGAGTGTGTCGCCACTCTCCTTGCCAAATAGCGCTAGCGCCAGCGTTATGGGCGCCGTTAGTGGACCGTTAACGGCACCACCAACTGCATGTAGCCACAATATGGGTGCACACTCGAAACAGATGCTGGGTCAAGGTCCATACCAGCAACAGTATTTGGGTCTAATGCATCCGCAAATGCATTATCCCGGCAATGGACTGGTTGGTCAATTCAGTCACATAACACTTAGTGCGGGTGTGAGTACTTGCGCGAGTGCAGGTCAATTTAGTGGTTCAAATAGCAGTAGCGGTTGTCAGTCGCCCATTTATAGCAGTTTTAGCGGCTCATCTTCACCCAACCCCTATATGCCAGGCGCAGGGCCATTCAATCCCTGCAGTATTGTCGGCAGCGGTGGCGGCGGTGGTGGCTCATCACCACTGCATCAAATTACGAAAGGTATCTCGGTGCTTTCCACTGGCGGCGGTGGTTCGATTACACGCGGCACTTCAGCTGCCAGTGAAATAGCCTCCTCCGCAGCCGCCGCTGCTGCTGCAGCCAATCAGCCGCTAGATCTTTCCATGGATGTGTGTGCTTCGGACAGCTCTGCTGCGGAAACGCCCACGAATGCATTTGCTCAACAACATGTCAACTGGATGTTGCCGCAAGTAACTTGCTTCGATCTCAAGCCGCTAAATTTGTCGCCAGCACAGCCGGTGCGGGTTGTGCCCACGCCACCTGCCTCGCCCAATCTTTGTATCATACAGGAGGAGAATGCCAATGGACAAATGTATCATACCATCACAACGGGTACGCCACATGCAGGCTGCACCGGCGGGCTAATCAACGAGGATTTAGCATCGCCATGTCAACCGTCGCATCCGCAAATATGTCTGACAGATGTGCAGGGCAGCGAGATCACGTTGGTGGCGCTGAGTTCAGAAAATAGCCGGGACAGTGACTGCGATTCGCTAGAGCCGCACACGTCTCTGATGTCATTACAGGTGAGTGGTAGCACCAAAGGGAGTAGAGTACGAATATTTTGGTAAAATTGTGGATCGCGAAAATCGCGCAAAGTCAAACTTTTTTTTGTAGAAAAAACACACATTTTCGATTACGTCCAAAATAATTACTCTATTTCTCCAACAGGGACTTATAATCACTGAACCTTCCAGCGATATGCCTTCGATTACACGTGGCATAGGACGCAAAACTAGTTTAGAATGCGCTAACGACAGCCACACGACGCGTCTAGAAAGCGATGCTAGCACGTCCAGTAATGCACAAAACGCCAGCGATTCACATCGACGCGGCAGTGATAAATCGCTTGGCTTCTCCGACGATTCACTAAGTAATGATTCAAACAATCTCTCACCCTGTCAAGAGCCTTCCGCTAGCTCCGGCTTCAAATCGGACTCACATTCCGAGATTGGCGATCATACCGAGGGACATTTATCACCCGATTCCATTTGCGATTCACGACGCATGTCAGAAGAGATGTGCTACGAAGTGCCGTTGCCGCATGAATGCTCCAACCTTGACCCGACACGCATACTGGAGTTGGTCAAACAAACCATTGACCAAACGATGCCACCAAAAGGTGCAGTCCTGCACAAAGGACTGCCGGAAGAGTACGTTGGTAGCGCGAGCGTAGCTGGAGCAACTGGTGAGACACGCATAAGTAACGCCAGCGAATCATCAGCGACATCGATGGACACCAGCAGTAGCACGTCAGGCTACTGTGGCGGCTTTGGCGGTACCGTTGGAGTTGGCGGAGGTGGCGGTAGCACAAGTACAAATCTTAGCTTGGAGTACTCGGGCGGCCTACAAATCGAGTTGCAAGTGTGTGAAGGCCGCAGCCGTGACAATCAAATGGCTGGCAAAGGTATCAAACTGCGACGCATCTCGGGCGATCAATTCGAATATGGCAAATTGTGTCAGCAGTTGATTAACAAGTTAACCATGCAGCAGGTAGCCGGTTAAGTACAAGTGCAAGTAAAAAAGAATTGTAAGCGTGAGTAAACCGTGAGCACTTTGGATGTACATACCTACATATGTATGTATGTAGTATGTGCATAGCATTTATGGTAGCACGTGGCGTGGCGTATAAGTAAGGCGTGTAAATCAGGAGCGTGTAAAAGACATAAGTAGAAAATAGACACTACTGTTGAACGTTGAATAAACGTTAGTACAAAATCGCAATTGTACACACAAGTCAAAGCGTTGAATTCTGTAGATTTCCAAAAATCCGTATGTACATACATAAGTAACTAAGTACGTGTGTATTAGATTAACAATTTTAAATCTTTATTCCTCTAAATGTGCGTGCGTATGTATGTATTTTTTTGTTATTATATATTTAAGAATTACCGGAACTGAACAGATTTTTAATCGATCGATGTTAGTGTTTGTATGCAATTAGCGCGCTCTGCGAGATTTTAAAGCGAAAGGCAACCAGCGGTAGTTGCATTAACACATACCTAAATATGTATGTAACTGTAATTAGTATGCAATTTAGGGACGAATTAGCTTAACAGAAGAACTAAAAAACATGAAATGATATATGCATCCATTTACATTAGAGCGGGTCAATTTTTTTACTATGCGCGTATAGCCGTGTAATTCTAAGCAAATTTGTCGAAGAAGCCATGTGTCTAACATCAATTTGGAGTTGGCCAAATTACGAAAATAGGTTTGGAATAAAATGTAAAAATTTCTACTATTGCGCCCTCTGGTGGAAGTCCTAAAAAAGGTTAGGTGCAGAAACCGATTTCTCATACCAAAACCCCCTATAGCAAGTTTGTGTACAAAATTTAAGCACTTTTTTACGAGACTACAGCAAAATGGTAAGAAACCCATTTTCGCAATATGGCAAACTCCAAATGGATTTTAGACTAGACCCATGGTTTCTTCGAAAAATTTGCTTAGAATTACACGTAAAATCTTTTTGGGCTATGCGCTTATAGCCGAAAAAATCTCCCATACATATTGACCAGCTTTAATGTACATAATATGTACATAAGAATGCATAACTCTCTATATAAAAAAATCGGTGCTGTTTTTCTATCGGAAATATAAAATCTATTCTATTTTAAGTCTTCCGCCAAAATATTTTAGAAAAATATTAAGATTTGCGTGAGCTGAACCTTTTTGAAAATTCCTCCAAAAATATACTTTTTTATAATAATTATTTTTTTAATTTTTTTTAAATCACCTTACATGTTAAATGAGTTTGAGCTTAAAAGGTGTGAATGAAAATGTTTAAAAGATCCTATCAACGTAATGAAAATAAAGTAATTTTTGGGTTTTTTCAAAACGGTCTAGCTCACATAAATCTTAATATGTTACCGAAATATTTTGGCGGAAGTCTTAGAATATAATAAATTTTATAATTCCTTTGGAAAACCCGCAACGTTCTTTGGTGATGCACCCTTATGTACATAGATATATTTTTATTTAATTTCTTTTTTACAACAGAAAATCCCTTTTTTTGTAAATATAAATTCTAAATTGTAAAAACGCGGTAATAACCCAAATCCATGTTTTTAAGTACATATACATATACTATATATGTATGTATTTATGTATAGAGTTCCAAAAGTACCCAGTCTGTAATTGCACAACACTTCTTTGTAAATATGTAAACGCTTCCAGGCAGTACTTACTTTTGGAAGTTCCGTTAGAAGTTTACCAGTATTTAGCGGTAGCCAAAGTGGCAGAGACAGGTCTTCATAGCGTGGTATCACAAATAGAAAGGATTTGCCCTAGGGGAAACTCATTCCCTGCTGAAGTCGAAAACCAGAAGTCTGATGAGCTGATGTGGTGATCTCCGAAATAACAGCTATCTAGCGCTTACTCTTTGTTGCTCTTTCAATTTTTTCTGAAAATAAATTTTGGTATAAAGCTGAAAAATTTGTTGAAGTAAATAGCTGTTTTTTGGTAATTAAGATAGTAGGTATTATGTACGAATAATACACGGGAAAATGAAGTCTTTGGAATTTTTCCGCTGTCATCACCCAGAATTATGGAAAATAAAAAAAATAGGAAACCCATATTTTTTTTTTTTTTTTGAAATCGGTTACAACTCTTTAATGATGCCACCAGGACTTTAAATTTTTCCATGTAAATATAATTTTTCGTGCAACTGTTATAACACCGTTAAAAATAAAATAAATATTTTTTTTCGAATAAAATAATTTCCCTTCAGAAATCTTCGAAAACAATTAGGATACATATTTTACTTAAAAATTTTACCAACTATTTTTACTCCGAAAATCGGGGGAACGAACCGAACCGAATCATTTTTTGGAGTGGTTTTTGGTTCGGTTTTGGGATTTTAAAATAAAAACGGTTCGGTTCGGAGCCCGAAAAAAAGCGACGGTTCGGTTCAAAACCGGTTTGCAGCCCTGATTTTTACAGTTCGTGCGCGATTTGGTTACGAATACATAAATAAGAGATAAGACTATCGGCTATAAGTTCCGTCATTGCGAGAGTCGTGTCGAATGCATGTCGTTTTTCGAGAGTCAAATCGTATCGAAAATTTCATGTCATTGGCTAAAATTTCCGCTCGACTGGTGTATTAAAACGGAAAAACTTGGCAGCACTGCATAGTTTTCGACGATTTTCGTCGTTTACTTATTTCAGCACGACAGTAGGCAATGCCAATGTTGCCAAGTCGTACAATTCAATTTGAAGATTTCTGAAGTGAAATATTTTTATTCTATCGAAAAATATTTAATTTTAACGATTGTATAGCAGTTCTATACAAAAAGAATTTTCTTGTAAAATACATGGGAAACTTCAAAGCTCTGGCAGCACCAATAAATGTTAACCAATTTAAAAAAAATACTGGTCTCCTTATTTTCAATATTCTTCTGTTCTGGGAGGTGGCTGGGAAAAAAAGGGGACGACGAACTCGATTAACAACCATTCGCACTTTAGGAAAATTAATTTTTATTTCGAAAAGGAATGTTTAACGCCTATAACTACCATTAGTGCTCGTCTTCGTATGAACATTAGGGCGGGTAAATTTTTTTTCGACTACAGGCGGGTAGCATAGGAGGATTCTACGTGTAATTATAAGTAATATACAAACATACATATGTATATACATATTAACATGCGTTTATATTCTCGTCGCGAAAAACTATTTTGCATAAATTGTGCCACTGGAGAAATGAATGGGAATGTACATAAATATATACATACTTAAAAAACTGTTATTATTGTACAAAAATACAATTAAACTAGAAAATTTTAACTCCTCGAAACGTAATCGAAAAAGTATATTAATAAAATTTCCTCTAGAAAATACGCTAAATATTGTAAAATAGCAAAACAAATAAACATAAATGTGTTCTTCGCCTGAATTCAGCACCTCAAATGCAATTTGCACGCTATATATTCAAAAATTGTAACATAAAATTTTAAATCTGTACTAAGTAAGAAATAGTAACAATCGATAATGAAAGTAAAACTAGGGAGAATGCACAAAATCGTTTTAAGGTCGAATTATAAATGTTAAGTATGTATGTTTATTAGGCAGGTTAAAAAAAATTTACTATTTCTTTTTTTTTTATTTCCACCCGAAATATTTTCGGTGCAGTGAAAAAAGGCGCCTGCTAGAAGCGCAGCCCTTAATATTAAGAATTGATGGTCGCTCATCGCGAATTTCTACTTTCGGTATAAATAACACAGGAAAGACATTTTTTCAACATTAAAAATTTTATAACTCGTTTTTAGGTCAACGTATCGAAATGAGCGATATATGAACATATATTTTGACAATTGAAGGCTGTAAACAAGTCTCATATGATTTTAATTAAACGCAATCCTCGGTGAAATGTTAAAACTTATTTACTTACTTTTTTTTAATTTTATAATCTTTAATTTTGTTTTCTCCTTGGTTGTTTTATTTTAGAAAAAAGATCATATAACATAAATTATTACGTTATCAAGTTTAATATTGTTTTTTTTTTATCGTATGGAAGAAAATAACTGACATTGTCAAGAAAAAAATAGCCAATAAAACGGCAAGTCTTGGGTACTTCAAACTTGTATCTTGTTATACTAAAATTGAGTGCGCTACCAAACTGTATACTCAGAATCTAAGAAGTCGAAATTTTTACGAAAGTTTGGTTGTTTTTTTTTAATGTGCACAAAGTTTAATTTTTGGATTTATACGGTTTTTGTTAAAGAGTAGAGTATATTTTTATAAAAAAAAATATTTAAACTTAAAATCAAATAGTGTTTTTTTGTATTTGGCAGTTAATTGAAAATTAAATTTAAAAAATAAAAGATTAATAGTCAAAACTTGTCAATCTGTGGGTGGTGTATAATTGTGATATACACTTTATTAAGCTTTACGCTTCAGGATTTGTTAAATAATGTTTTTTTTTCATAGAAATTTAAAAAAATGTTATGACATTTAGTGTTTAGTTTTAATATTTTACCGAAAATTTAAATTTTGTATATGTTTGGCTTAAGCGATGGATAACTTTTGTTGGAGGAAATTTATGGAAAATTCATAATGCTGAATACACACGAGGCAACAGTTGAAGCAACCTGTTTTTCCTCTTCAATACACACGAGGCAAACGTAGAGACCATCGTACAGTTCCATAAGTAAAGTAACTCTTCTTCTTACCGTTTTCTCTGGCAGGCTGTAGGTGTGTGTTTGGCAGCCTATTGGTGGGTTTTTGGTTAGTGTATTGGTGTTTCTAGTTCGGTGTGTTAAATAGTGTATTTTGAATAAATTGTAATAGAAATAAAATAAATTGTGATAGAAAGGAAAGAAATTGTAAAAGATAAGAGCACATGCCAATAAATAGGTGATCTCAGCTATAAGCATTTTTTGACTATCAGCTGATAGTGTGTTTACTTATGAAACTGTACGATGGTAGAGACAGCCAACTCAAAATTGCGGCAACATGAATTTCAATGAGCAACAATGCTACATAGGAGGCAACGATCGAAGTCCTGATTGCTTCAACGGTTGTGTCATGTGTACTCAGCATAAGATACTTTTTTTACGTTGACTTAAAAACGAGTTATAAAATTTACAAATTAAAAACAACATAATGGCTCTGTTATTTATGGAAAATAAACACTCGCGATCTCTAAATATTAAAATTAGATGCCGCGTTTTTGACAGGCGTCTTTTTTCACTGTCCCGAAAATATTTCACAAGAGATTTTGCAAAAAATAGTCGATTTTTTTTAATCAGTCTAATTTATATATGTATGTATGTATACGCCCTGCCGAAAATCTGACTAGCCCAGAACTAGCATAGAACTAGACCTTTTGCCGACAGTACTAGTTCTAGCTCAATACCCAAGCAATACTTTCAATTGTCTAGTTTTACACGACGATGTCATTAGCGGTGGCAATTGTCGCCCAGTGCATTACTTTGGATATTTTTTTTTTTAACGTTTTTTCTTTTCTTTTACAGATTCAATTTTTGTTACATATTTTATTTAAAAAAAAAAATATGGTAAGCTGCACGCAACAATTTAAATTTATTAAATTTTAAAACTCACAACTTTCTCCACCGCGATTTGAGCTCGTGACCAACGATGCTTGAGTCGGAGGTATTCTCGCTGAGCTACTTTCGTATTGTACGAGTAGTGAGCATTTGCTCATTTACACCGCATGTTTCAACTGTCCCGCTCTGCATCCGTTTTTCCTAGTTCAGAGGTAGTTCTCATATATGTAATTGTCAGACTGTTCTTAAATTTTACTGCAGGGTAAGTACATACATATGTATGTATGTATGAAGTAGGAGAGGTATAAGTACAGCTAGGATATTTTACTTATAAATTTCTCAAGCGGGATAATGAAAACTAGTTTTACATACATATGTACATACATACACATAGAGTAGTTGCTAAAATAAAAGAGACTTGTCATTAGGCAAAGTGGAAATAGAAAAAATTAGAGAGTTATGGCCATTTTATTTGAATATGTATAACAAACGATGGGTTATACACTGTTCCATTAAATTAAGTCAAATCTCATAAACAAAATTGAAAAACGTTAGAGTTATGAAAGAAAACTTAATGGTACCAAATAAATTATATCATAAATTTATGTGAGTATATATACCAGATATATATGCAATGCCGATAAATATTTTTCGTACAATTTGGCCACCATCAAAGAACGCAATCTTTTCAATCTGTTACTTTCTATTAACACAGTCCAACAAATTTAAAATTTTTTACGCAGCAATACATTATTGAATGTGAATCTTATGCAAAACCATTTTTCGTTAAACAAAGTCATATTCCAGCACATTCGAGTTCGGTTTAATTTGAGCATCGCAGATTCATGTGCCTTATGACCACCAAACAACTGTACGTTCTTCATTTACAAATAGCTCACGTTTTTAAATTTTTGCAAGTTAACGAGCCTGTTTATTAAATGCAATAACGCGCAACAATCCCGCTTGTAAACATTTTTTTCAGTAAGAATTTGCAACTTCGCCTCCAAGAGAACTGCCACTTTGGGCTCTCACTGCACGAACGCGATTTAACAGAAGTCATGATAATTCGTACAAATGTTTCGGTCCACGAATACATAGAACTTACATTACAAACATTTGTAAATCAAAATAACTAAAATTTAGAAAAAATTCATACTGCTTCGAGATATGTCGAAATAATGTGCACATTTAAAGCAGAGCGGTCACTCACTTATTTTTTTTATTTTCCACTCCTACTTTGACGCCTTCATTTGCCACTTACTGTATTTAATTTTTCGTTCAACTCTTTTAAGTCCATTTTGCCTAAGTGAAATTAACTTTCAAACCGCAAGTGGTCGGTAATGTCAAGTACTCCCATATGTACAAATTTTTCAAAATTGCAAACAGACTTTTGCAGTCGAAATAATAATGATTCAAGAGAATGAGAGAACTTAACATGAGAACTTAACAATTTTTTGAAAACCAAGGCGCCATGGACTTGAATGTATTAAATGGAATAAGTAGGATAAAAAAAATTTAGTATACATATTCAATATTATTCACTTTCCGAAACATTTTCTTGTATGTATGTATGTATCGCAACTTTTTTTTTATTTTAATTTCCTTCTTTTTTATGCGAAACGTTATTACATATTTTTATAATTTTTTTTTAATCATTTAGAGGTCGCGACCTGTCATTTTAGGTCAAAAGGTACAGGTTTGTAGATTTATCAGTTTTTGAATAACTAGTTTTGATTCAATTTTAAACATCGAACATGTTGAGAGAAGAAGATTTATAGGCCTTTAAAATGAAGTATAATAATCTGTTGTCAAACTTGGATTGTCGGGATTTTTCATCGGGAAAATTAAAAAAACAAAAACGTTTTTTCTTAATTTTTTATGTTTTGACCATCACTAATTTTCACAATTACAAAATATATATAAAAACTATCTAAAATTAAATCTATTTCAAAATAACCTGACAGCTCATTTATTGCAATCGCATAAAAATTGTCAAAGTTAGGCGAAATTTCTTAAACACGGCCTTGAATTTTTATTATGTATGTACCGGAATTTCAGATTTTTTGAGCAGTGTGGCTAAGGAATTCATCAAAATTTAATCAAAATAAGTATATACAATCGTTTTTTAGCAAAAAAGTGGTTTTTCAAGAAGTTTTAGGAAAATGGGTTCACCGCTCACGTATATGATCTATTCGTATCTCAAAAACGAATTGATCGATCTGGACTAAATTTGTCATACACATTTGGCTTAGGCTCTTCAAGCGCCATATTGAAAATTTTTGAAATCGTACAAAAACCACTGGCTCCACCAACGTAAAGGTAATATCAAAAAGCTCAAGCTAACTAGCTATATTT